AAAAAAAAAAAAAAAATACCACGACCCTCGACTTCTTTCTATTCCAGAAACTGGAGTCCAAACGCTCTTGCCGCTTGAATCGGATTTTTCGACGGACGTCTCGGCGACCTTACGATCGCCTTGACACCGCGACCTACTTTTTCCGCTTTTCTCTCTCTCTCTTTCTTTCTCTCTTTTGTCTCGTGGAACTCCGCGAGAATTCAAGCTCCTCGCGAGTTTGGTTACCACTGATAGAACACCTTGGCTCAGTCGTTTTTCACGTTTTTCGAACTTTCGTCGGAGGCGTCAAACAAAAGTACCACACCCGATATGATCTCGAACAAGCGATCCACTGTCGTTCGCTTGTCGGGTGCTTTCGCGAAGCGCGAATAATAGCGCGTAGTTAGAGCGGCTGTTCGAATCGCGTGCCGGGATATTTCGGTACGGTTGAAAGAAAGCAACTCGTTTGGGGGCAAACTGGGACGGCAGACCGCCCGGTTCAACAAGGAAAGGAGGAAAATCGTGTAGGCCCTCGTAGAGAACGAGAAATCGTTGACCCGGTCGCGTGCAAGCTCGCGTTCGATGGCCATATCGTATGAAATTTTCATAAATACTTGGCAACGCGCGCTGAATAAAACACGCGGGCGCGTTATCACGGACGACGATCGATTTCCCGTACGCGAGACTCGCCAAGGAGGATGCGTCGCATCTTTCTCTCTCTCTCTCTCTCTCCTCTCTTTTCTTTCTCTCTTGCACGCGTTCGCTCGAAACGTTTGAATAACCGTGGTATTTTATTGTTACAGTGGTCTACTGCGACTACACCGCCTCCGGAAGGTCGCTGCAATTTCTCGAGGAGTATGTCGCGAAGGATGTGCTGCCATATTTGGGCGACACCCGAGCGTCCACGTCCATCTGCAGCCTCCAGTCTTCTCTGTTCAGGTGAGTCGATCGAGAGACATCCCCTCTTTCTCTCTCTCTCTCTCTCTCTTTCTCTCTAGCGTGAGACTTGAGCCACCAAACGATCGCGATAATGATCGAGGTCGCGGCGAGGAAAGAAACACACGCGACGCACGCATTTACGCACGGTCGGTCGGAGTGCGACACATCTCCGCGCCCACTAGCTGCCGAACTTCCCAGAACCAATTCCAGTCACTGGAACAGCCTATCGTACCTCGAGAAATCGTAGCTACCCGGTTGACGCGATAGCTTGACACGATGCACAACTCATCGTCTCAAGTTCGTTCGCGTTCCGTAGCATTGTATGTATGTACGTACGTAGTCGCGAATCGCATCGTTAGAAAGTAGCCGAGCGCGCGGTGCACGCCGTGAATTCGTAATCGGCGATTTCCTATGCGAGATTAGCATACCGCGGCGCGTGCAACGTGCAACGATTCCGGTTGACGTACCGTTTCCGCGGTAAACGAGACTCGTTTTCTGCGCCGCTCGACCGGCCAGCCTTTCTATTTCGCCTCGATTCCGCGCGTTCCGCTCGCGACACGCGTTCCGTTTTACATCTCGGCACACATCTCGGTGGACTAGTTTGATCGTGTGCTCGCCATACATACACAGTTTTCGATCGAAGCGCGGCTTCGTCCCGCGCGGAGGCGACCCCGTTTATCCCTAAATCTTACGCGGTCGAACGTGTGTAGGGGTGGGTTCCGCTCGGCGTCCCGTTCCCTGGCGTCCCAGATCAATATCCACCGAGTCGAGCCCCGACCGCTTACCGGCCGGCCGACTGCACCACCACCGCCAGCAACCACAATAACGCGCCTCTTTTCTCGTTTCGCGCGAATTCCCCTTTTGCACGGTTTCTCGCGTCGAACTAGAGACGCGCGGGTGAGAGGTCAGAGAGAAAGTACGCTACGAGCGGCGATGCTTTCGAATTTGGGAAAACTGTGGCGAAAGTTGCGACTTTGACCGTGCCAAGACCTGGCCAAGAATTGTTCTCCATTTCCGTAATCTTTCGTAGTAATCTTACAAACTTGCGACTTTTTACGGTACTGCTTTCTCTTCTACGTGCATCCTCTCCGTATGATGCAAGTAATTTGAATTCTTCGAGCGAAAGCTCGTTCGCCGGTTCAACAGTGGGAAAATTTAGACAGTTAAGAATTCAGAAATTTTACTAACGAAGTCTACCGGATGAACTGATGGATATTTCTAAAAGGAAATGCGCTTTCTCGAAACGAGATACAGAGAAAGAGAGAGAGAGAGAGAACTTCGCGAACAGAGAGGAATAAACTGGCTAACGAACAATAAAAGGATCGATGCGATGTACAGACTCTATCTAAATCCATCGTGGAACAAGCAGTTCATATAACCGACGTTTATATAACAATCGAGATTCAGCTCGCAGATTCTCCTCGCTGTCCGATGCATTTCATTCAATTCATACACAACAATCCACGCGTTCACGATTCAATCTGCTGAAATTCGTTCGATTGTTCGCTGACCAGAACTTCGTTTGCCGTAAATGGACGTTGTCGAGTAAACGAAATTTTCCTGTAATGGTCGTAAAGTTCGTCTTGCTTGCGTTTCTCTCTCTCTCTCTCTCTCTCTCTCCCTCTGTTCGAAATGACCTCACCATCGAGGCAAAGTGACGCGAAACCGCGAGAAACGTGTTCTTGAGAAAGGCAGCGTCGTTTGTTCTCGATTGGACAAACAAACCGCGAATTTACGATCGTTAATGACGGCGGGAGGACGCGTCGTTCGAGGTGTCCTGACGGCAAGGATCGTTGCAGGCACGAAGCCAGAGACATCGTTCGACATGCGGTCGGAGCTGGCGAGCAGGATGCTGTGCTGTTCACTGGTCAAGGCACCGCGGCTGCCCTTTGTACGCTTCTGCGACATCTCGATCTCTCCAAGTCTACGGTGGTCTTCGTGGGACCGTTCGAGCATCACGCGAACCTGCGACCTTGGCGGGAATATGGAGTCAGGGTAAGGAGAATCACTCGCGTTCTCTCGAGTGAATTAACGTTGTTCCTCGAATTTATTCACTTGTTCGTTTAACTGGGCGAAACTTGTTAAAAAAAAAAAGAAACAACGATACAGTAAAATAACACAGAATGTAAGTGAAATAAAAGAAATAATATCACATTTTGTTGAGAAATAATAGTGTCATATTTTTGAAGATCGAGATCAAAGTGTTTAATAATTTTGTTGATTATGTTAGAAATATGCAGCATCGAATTCCTCAAGATTATTTATGAATCTTGGAGATATTTGAAAGGTGCACTTACATTAAATTCCTGTATTAATTTAAATGTAGACCATTTTTAATTCTTTAGTAGACTATTATGGTTCCATCTAAATTTAATCGTGTACTGTTCGAAAATTATTATCATGTATTATCTCATTTCTAATCTTGTAAGAAAAAATTAATCTTCGTTTGACGAATATCAATTCGCAAGTTGAAATAATTTCTATATTGACATTAGCTATAAATACCAACTGTTAAACTTGCTACAATTTCTCATATGAATTATAATGAATATTAATATTGATATAAATTCCAACTGTTGAATTAAAAGACATTTCACTTGAGGATTAAGTGAACGTTCAACAAATTATCAAAGAATATAGATTCGTTCGGAAATAGAGATTGCTTTCAAACTTTAATCCGTTAAAGCAGTTTCGAATTAATTAATTTAAAACCCTGACGAGCAACGGAGAATCTCGATGTGTTCGATGTGTTCAACGACGATGTGTTCTTGGCATTCGAATGTTCCATTGAAGATATTTTCGAGTCGTTATTCAAGAATTATTCTATCCTGTTTTCGAAGGATATTTCTGTTTATATCACTGAGAATGAGTTACGATTAACGTTTTAACGAGGTGATTCCGAATAATTTACCGACTTTCTCTGCTAGCTGGAAATGCCACGGAAAAGCTAGGTCCACGGAATGGACCTGGTATTCGAGTCAAGAAGAATGTCGTACAAAAGTTCTGGTGCGCCTTTGTGCGCTAGAATTAAAGGAACCCTTTGGATCGTTCCTCCTCGAGAAACTTTGAATAGCCTTTGACACTTCGCGGAACACGAGCACGCGTCTCACGCTCTTCCGGGAGGAAGTCATTTTCGGTACTTTTCTTTGAAGTTCCAACTTGTTCCAACTCCGGGAAGTTGCCATTCAATCCGAACGCTGCGAAACGACTTCTCGCTAAATGAGAAAGAATTGTCTCTCGCGTCGCATGTCGTCCGTTTGACACCATCGTGTCAAAATCGATGGAACATGTTCAACAAGTCAGAAACACATGGAATATTCAACAGCGGAGATTGACTGTGAAACTTTAACAGCTGGTTTAAGAAAGGCCTGGCCTATTCGTACGATCGATAAAAACGTACCGCGGGAAAGTAGAACTCTAAAAGTAGAACGTAGGAGGAAAGTGGAAGTGAGAAAAGGGGAGAATAATCTCGGGATATTCCTAACGATCGGCGCAGATAGTACGAGTGTCGGAGACCCGGGAAGGTTTCTTGGACCTAAACGATCTCGAGCGATGCCTGATCAAAGTACGGGGCGAGGGTGTTACGCAAATGATCGGTTGCTTCAGCGCTGCCAGTTGCATAACCGGGGTTTTGGCAGATGACGTCGCCACGACCCTTCTACTGCATCAGTATGGGGCACTTAGCGTCTGGGATTACACCACAGCAGGTAACGATTCACGCCCGTGGAAGCCGATATACACGCGACGAAAATATATCATCGCGCGTAAAATGTTTGATCGTCTCAATCGTTTTCTTTCTTGTCTTTTGTCGTGTGCTTGAAACGGCACTGTCACTATTTATTTGATCGAGAAACGAACCGACAAAGATTGTAGCAGATATTGAAAGTTAAGTTTCCAGGTTGAAGAGCATCGACCAGTGTCTAAAAGAAAGAAACTCTCCCTTGAGTATTTCTAGTATTTAAAGATCAATTTTTGAGAAGTAAGATGCAACTCGAGTGAAAGACTAGATTAATCCAGCGGTTACCTCGCTATCATAGAGACACGACGATCTTTTTTTGTCAGATTTTCGAAGAATGCAAGAACAGAGCTATCCTACAGTTTCACGTTTACTTTTCAGCGCCGTACGTGCAGATCGATATGAATCCACATCTGCCCGGCGTCGGGGAGACGACCGTGTACAAAGACGCGATTATTTTTGCCGGGCACAAGTTCATCGGTGGAGTTCAGTCGCCCGGCGTGCTCGTGACCAAACGGTCCCTGCTGAAAGATAAAATTCCCACGGAGGACATGCGGGACTCGCATCACTATCACCGGGACTCGGAGCTGCGCGAGGAGAGCGGCACCGCAGGTGTCGTCGAGACCATCAGATGCGGACTGGCGGTGCAATTGAAAGAGAACGTCACGCCGCGAGCGATCGTCGCTCGTCAAGATAAGATTTCCAGGTACGTCCCTTTTTTTTTTTTTTCCTTTTCTTCTTTCGTTCTCGAGATCTTGTCCGAGAAAGAAAAGGATCTTGGCGAATTTGCCTTCTCTTCGAATCGAAATCGATCAGGATCGATCTCCCGCCGATCGTTCGAAAGCAACTCATCGTCGTACGATCTTGGTTGCCGTTTTCGATCCACATTTGCAGCAGGTTTGTTTGTTTCGAACACGAATTTTGTGATACGTGCTCGCCAAGGGGAAATATCGTTGATATCGCGGGAATATTTATAGACCGAGTTGATTTCGGGAGGGGAAACCAGCCGGGCCTTCAGCCGCTACGATTCGACGAAAATCGATTCGGCAATGAGGAACTACTTCTTTCTTTCATTGCGAATGGCGGACAGAAATAGCCTGGCTATTTCTTTCTCAGTCAATGGCAGCCGATTCTGGAACGTTGGTAGGCTCACGTACGATGATCAACCAACGATTACGTGGAAAAATTGGTGCGACACGTAGAGAAATTAACCTTCTTATATTGCTTTTCGGCAATATTTTTTATTGTAAAAACTTACTTCGTAAAAATAAGGTGTCATTAATCTCGGAACCCGTATATTAATTCTTATCGTATCAACAATTAGAGACAGTTAACCTCTTGACATACGAATTAAATGAAATTAATTAAATTAAATTAAATGAAGTGGGTAAGGATGTAAGATAGAAGGGCCATATCAAGCATGTAGAAAAATATTCTTTTATATCCTTGTACACGTATCTTGCGAACGTCTTAGAGACGTTATTGTCGATTTTAGCTTAGGAAACGCGTTGTATGTCAAAGTGTTAAACAATAAATTTTCGACACTTCTAACGCTCGCGATAACAACCTCGGTCAAGTAAACAGTTAACAGAAAATTTGGTTTTTCAATATACGCGCGTGTGTTACGTACAAGTGACGGCAGCTCGTGGTCGTAGATGAAACGTGCAAAGTTTGCGCATCAATTTTTAAGTGTCAACTTCGCGCACACGCGTGTGTCCTCGAACGATCACGCGAGAGAGAAAACGGCCCTGATCGATTTCGAACGAAGCTCGACGACGAGTAGAGTAGAGAATAGAGTTTTCAAAGATCGGGGCATGATCGAACGGCCCGAGTCGATCGTATTTGTAAAACACACGATCGATGCTTCCTGTTCCTGTAGGCAAGTGTTGGCGCACGTACGCACGATTCCGGAACTGATACTGCTCGGCAGTGGCTCGCAGAATGTCAAGAGGCTGCCGATCTTTTCGTTCATGGTGCGTCACCCGCGCGGCACGTTCCTCCACCACAACTTCGTGTGCGCCGTGTTGAACGACGTGTTCGGTATACAGGCGCGTGGCGGTTGCGCGTGTGCCGGACGTTACGCTCACGACCTGATGGGAATCGACCAGGAACTCGCCAGGGAGTACCAGAGGGCGCTCACAGAGGGGTACGGAAGTGGAGAAAACTTCGACCGTGTCGATTCCGGTCGCGCGATGCTGCGCGAAGGAATCGTACCGTTGAACGATAATACACGTCGCGGATCTAACTAACGCTTAACTTGTCGTTTCTAGGGAACGGAACAGCGAGAACGAGGAGAAGAACGCAGAAGGTCTGAGGCCGGGTTTCGCGAAGCTCTCGTTCCCTTACTTCATGTCGGAGGCAGAGGTGGCGTTTGTGCTGGAGGCATTGAAAATGGTAGCGACCGAAGGCTGGAAACTGTTGCCGCAGTACGTGCTGAACCCGGACACGGGCGAATGGCGGCACCACACGAACAGCGTGTTCAAGGAGCGAAAGTGGCTCAGCTCGATCAGATACACGGACGGGAAGATGAACGCTTCCGAGAGACGGGCATCCGGCACTGGCGTACTTCCGCAGAACTACGGCGACTGCCTGCAGACAGCGCGCAACATTTTCAACCGGGCACGAAAAATGGCGCAGAGGTATCCGCTGCAGATCGATCGTAGCTACAACTTCGTGCCGGAACAGTTGGAACCGTTGCGGTGGTTCATGCTGCCGAGCGAGGCGCAAGATCTTCTACTCGGCAACTCGCAGAACGTGAAGCAGGACGTGCCCTTCAACCCGATGCTATCGTGGAACAAGCACGGCCATCACACGCCGACCACCACGCACGATAGCCTGGTCAATAGCCTGGCATTGGCCAACAGCATCCGCCGGCTGAACAGCGACATTCCGCGGACCGGGAACGTCCTGATGTCGTCGAACTCGCCGAGGCACCGAAGCCTCCCGGTACTGAGCACCGTCAGGAGGACGTTGTTGAACGCGGCCGAGTTCCAGTCGACGTCGAGTTCCAGTCCGACGAGCAGCAACGAGGAGGACCAGTCGTCGCCGGCTGTCACCGTGGTCGATCGAAACGCCGCCACCGACTCGGGCGGTCAAAGGTCGCCAGCCACTTGCCCGAGTTCGCCGATGCCGGTGAGATTCGCGGTTGGCGAGGCGGTCACGCCGTCGGCCCTAGGCGGCATGTCGCACGCCGGCAACAGGCCAATTAAAGAGCAAAGAGATCTGATGGAGTCTGCCAACGCTGGCCGTGCCAGGTGCAACTCCCTCGGTAGCACCGCCAGCGGCGGTGGCAACGATCCGGGAACGAATCGGAACGTCGCGTCCTCCTCGTCCTCGCCGATCCCGCCGCTTCCGCTCAGCCCTCAAACCTTGACCAGCCTCGGGCTGAGCGGGAACAACGGCGGGAACTCGGCGAGACACAGGCGACATCACTGCAGCTGCAGCAGTCAGACGGAGCTGAACTCTCTGGAGCTGGACAACGGTAGCCCGAATCACTCGATCTTGTCGTTGAACTACCACAACGCCGCCTCGCCACCGTCCTCGTACTTCTCCGTCAGCGACTACACGGAGAAGTTCGTCGGCGGTGGTAGGTCGTCGCCGATCTCGGATCGGAACGGCGGTCAAAGATCGGAGGACGATCTACGAGCTTATGTGAAAGAGGTGACGAAGGAGTTGGCGACGGAGATCAAGTCGGAGATCCGAGAAGTGATATCGAAGGTGGACGACGCGCTGTCCGAGACCAACACCTCGGAGAACACGCCGCAACATCACTCGCGTAATCTGAGCGCCATCGGCCAGCTGCCCGTGGAGGAGAAACAAACGAGACACGACTCGTTCACGGCGAGCGACATCGCGGAGTACTTGATGGAATTCTCGAAAGAAATGGCCAGCGAGGTGAAATCGGAGATCAGATGTATGGTGAACGCCGTGGACGGGCTGCACAGACACTCACCGGACGCGTCGGCATCCGACGTGTCGTCGAACGGTTGTGGCTCGCCGGATCGAGGTAGGATCGTTCAGTCCTCGTCGTCGCCTAGAATATCGAGTACGAAGCGAAGCGGGCCGATAGAGATCTCGGGCAAGGTTGGTGAGCTGACGCAGCAGGAGAGCAAGGTGTCCAGCGAGTGTTCCTCGGACGAGACGGTGATTTACGTGATGAAGCCGCCTGAGAACGAGCAGATCACCGTTCGCAGCCAGTCGAAAACAGACGACGAGGAGGTGGTGCACGATCTGGACGACGATTTGAACGACGACGATTCCCAAGAACGCGGCGGTTTGGAGATTGGCGACGCGCGGAAGGTCCTTCCGAAAATTTACTCCGCGGTGAATTCCGTGAGCTCGCAGGACAGCGGTATCAATCTGTCTTTCCACGAGAGCGACAAGTCCCTGGACTCGGTGGATCTGAAGCGTAGCAGCAGCGCGGAGTCCAACTCGACCAACAGTTACGGCCGGAAACCGAGAACGGCGTCAATGTCCACTCTGTCGGGCAAGTCCAGCTGCAAGCAACAAGTCCGTCAAAACGACGACTTTTCCGAGGACGAGGAGTGCTCGAGCGACTTGAAGGAGGAGGAGGACGGCGACCAGGATGCGACGTTCGACTCGAAAGACGGAAAAACCGCAGAGGTGTCTCGGCCGCAATGGCACTGCCCGCCGAAGAACATCTGGAAGTCAGCGGTCGAGGCTATGCAAGAGTTCGACATGATTCGAGACAACGACAGAGTGCTGATCTGCTTGTCGACCAACGGCAAGAGTTCCCTGTCGTTGCTGCACTCGTTGCACCAGTATCGATTCTACGTGAGATCGAAGGGCGTCGACTTCGAGATCGGCGCGGCTACGGTGGACAATGCGGCGAACAGATCCGACCCGCTGGAACTGATGAGCTACATGAAGGCCCTGGACGTTCCTTATTTCTACGAGGAGCTCAGCAGCAGCGAGTTGTCGAAAACGACGGGCAACACGGAGAGTCCGCATCCCGCGGAGGAAGATACGTTGGACGCGAGCGGAGCGTGCAGCTTCTGCAATCGTGCGACTAGGGCACAGTTGTACGCGATCGCCAAGCGGCACAATTACAACGTGTTGGCGGTTGGCCAGCACTTGGACGACCTGACCGAAGGTTTCCTCGTCTCGGTGTTTCACGGTGGCAAGCTGAAGACCATGAAGGCCCACTATTACATACGTCGCCAAGATCTCAGGGTCGTGCGGCCGTTCGTGTATGTCCGGGAGAAGGCTTTGAGACAGTTTGCCGAGAGCAAGAAGCTGTTGGTTTCGTGGGAAACCAGGTCAAGTGACCTACCCGAGGTGAGCTTCTCCTCATTCTAGCGTTTATTTATATCATTAATTGCTTCCCGCTGTGCGTCCCCGCCCTCTCCCTACTCCACTCGCTCGCCCCTTCTCGCTTTTAATTAGACGCAATCGATAATTCTCACGCACTTCCCCCCGCGCGTCTGCGATGGGCTGACTGCTCTTGACCCGGTCCGATTGCAATCCAGCATCCACTCTTCGATAGAGTCACAGCTCTCCGGTTTTGTTACAGAGGCAGAAGCAAAGCAAAGAGCTGATCCTTCAGCAGGAGCGCGCTTATCCTCGACTGTACTGGTCGTTGAGGACCGCGTTGCGGCCGTTGATCGACGCTTACGGGCAGCAAGTCGATCTGGATCTCGCGTCGCCCGTGGGAAACAGTTCGTCCAGCATAGCGAACAGCTTGTCCAGCGGGTCCAGTTGCAGTTCGAGCAGCGGCAGCGCGGCAGCCAACAACGGCTCCATCAGCAGCACCACGGGTGTCAACAGTCAGCAGAAGAGGCAGCGAAGAGTGAAAACGAATTCCGCCTCGGCGGCCGCGACGCAGTGTCATCCGCAGGAGCCCGACGAGGACAACGACGAGACGGACGAGGAACCGGTCCTCTGAGGGAGACCCGTCGCGAGATGGGATTTCAATCGCGTTTCGATCTCATCCTCGCATCACCGTCGAAAGCTACCGTTGTCGGCGTTCTCCGTTGTCAGGAGGAGGCGGCTACGTTTCGCCACCGCTGTCGCCGCTGCGAGAATTCAAGATCCTGACGGGGAATGCTAAGAGATCGGCGTGAGAATGTCAAGTGAAGTCGGTCGTGAGAGAGAGAATGATCGCGACGAAAATGGATCGACGATGAAATATAACATACATACATATATACATACATATATATTTATATATAGTTGTACGAGGACGTCTACTCTGTCTTCTGGACTAACTTTGCTAGGCTACTTTTCTGCCACTAGCGATCGTTCGATCGTGTCCTTTTTCTTTCTTTTTTTCTTTTTCTTTTTCGTTGTCAAACGATCGACGCGCACGCGCGGAGGGTTCTCGAAGACCGTTCGACGATCCTCTGTCTCGCGAAGTCTCTCGCCACTTATCGAAGCTTCGTCGAGCTTTCGCAAACGCAAACGTTTCAGGGGACCGAAGCTCGAACTGGATACACGTTTTGATTTCGCGTCGTGAAACGATTTTGATTTTCCGATTGTCGCGTCCGCGAGTCGTGGGACGCGGACGCACAGAACTAGGATACTCGCTCGAGTCAACGAACGCAACGACGGGGTCGAGTCTGTCTCTCCTTTATTCGTCGGGTGTGAAAAAAAATGATCGGCTGGGGAAACCGTCGTCGCGGATCGTTCGATTACGTCTAACGATATAAATCGCTTCGTAAGCTACTTAAGCAAAACGTTGTGCGCGGTTAAATGTTACTTACGTAAGGACACACTTAGCGTTTAATAACCAGCAACATGTTGAGACTTCGGTTGTACTTTGCACACTCGCGGAGTCTTGTCTCCTCGGATCGTGGACAGATCGTCTCCACGATCGGTGATCTTGCGGGAACGTTTGGACGTGAGACGAATGGATAACCGGGGGGCGGGGAAGGGGGGGGGAATGGAACTGACGACGTTGGAAGAAACGACGATGCGAGAGAACGAAGAGAAGAAAATTCGGATGCCAAGTGTAAACGCATCTGCAGGGACGGTGCTGCGGAGGAATCGAGAGAAACGAAAAGTGACTTGAGAAAGCGCCAAAACCTCGACTGCTCAAGGGACCGCGGAGCTTGAAACGTTTAACAAACGAAGGACGCTTGATTTTTTATATAATTGTGATTTAACGAACCAACGAGCCTCGTGTCTCTCACCGGTGAACAATTAGGGTTAGTTGCTTAAGATAACGAAAATTTTTGTAAAAAAAAAATCGTGCCCGCGATCACTGTCGAGTCGAGCCTCCCTTTTTTCGAGCATTTTTTTGATGATCGAACGCGATTCTTCGCACGATGACTTTCCATAGAAAGAGAAAGAGAGAGAGAGAGAATGTGTGTGAGAAAGAGAGTGAGAATGGATTTTTCGAATCGATAGGACGTTCATTTTTTTTTGCGGTCAAGAAAAATGTCGTCCTTGAAGATTCGAGGCGTTTATCAGATGGC